CACACACACACACACACACACACACACACACACACACACACACATATGCACACGTATAGTAGGTATATTTCCATGGCCTAGCCGAAGATTCATTCGATTTTACTCATCTATCGATGCAAGTAGCGTGAGGCCAGCCCAGGGGTTGGAGACTTACCTGTTCGGCGATGCGTATCTCATCCAATCTCTCGCCCGCTTTGGTTTTCGCTGCCCGCCCGCGTCGGCTCGGCCCTCCGCCCCTTGCCAGCTTCGCTTTTCCCTGCCCGCTACTTTCCCCGTTTGTGTCTGCGCGGGCCTCGGCCCTGGGCCGGTTCCCCCGCGTCGGCTCGGCCCTCCGCCCCTTGCCCGCTTCGCTTTTCCCTGCCCCCAGCGACGGTCGACACCTCCTCCTGACCGCGGTGTCCCAAGCGGTTTCCGTTGGGCCTGTGACCGACCATGTCGCCAGACCCTTTGCTTGCTTTAGTATGTATAGAGATATTGAACTTTTGCAAAATTAATTATTGCAAATTTTAATATTCTTTAATGAAATATTTAATCTTTTGCCAAAATTAAAATTTTAATAATTCGTATTTTACGATTAAAATTTATTTAATTTATCAAAATTCGAAATTTTCGTGGGGGGGGGGAAATTTTTTATTTTCTCTTTTCTTTTTTGATTAGTGTCAAATTTCGAGGTAAGGGGAGAAAGGGACTGGCTGTGCATTGTTTTCCTCTCTGCCCTTCCTCCATCCCTACCTTCTCTCTGTCCTCCTCTCGATACTACGGACGTCAGTCTCTGGCCACGTCAGCATTGTGCCACATCAGCAGCGGGCCGTGATCGCAGATTGCCAGATCAGCCGCATGCCACATCAGGGTGCCACGACAGCCGAGTGCCCAATCAGCAGCGGCCACCTGTGGCATACTGCGTAGCCACACGGGCCCTGCAGGGCCCGTCCCGGACATTCAGCCTAAAGGCCTAAAACTTACGGCTTACAGGCCCCGTTCGTTTCAGCCTAAAAGCTGAAAAACGAGGGCCTGCAGGCGCTACCCCGTTTCAGCCTATTTCTGGGTCTTTTCAGACCCAGAGTTTTCAGCCTGAAACGGAGGGCCATTTTCAGGCCCTCACTGTTTTCACCTGCCCCTAAGACTCAGGCACGTAAACAGGGATGCGGAACAGGCCAGAAATAGCCAGTTCCTCACGAGTTTGAGCAGGAGCTGCAGCTGCAGCCCCTGCCTCCCTTTGGCAGGCTCAGGAGGCACACCCGGTAGTACATAGGAAGTTTCCATGCACTTCACGGGTACGTAGTTCAGTAGGCACGAGGTAGTCTTCAGGATTTCGGCCGCAGCACTCAGGAGGAGCGCTGCAGTAGTCTTCAGCGCTAGGTGGTATTAGCGCTAGCTGTAGTCTTCGGCACTGGGTGCCATAGCTGTAGCTGTAGTCTTCAGCGCTGGGCGCTGGTAGGTGGTAGATCGCAGAGTGGGAGAGAGAAACTGGCGGAGGTCAGTGGTACTTACCTGTGGCGCCATCGCTCCAGCTCCATCTTCGTGGTACCTGCATCAAGACGCCAACTTCACAGGTTAGTACTGGACACAGAGAGAGAGAGTTCTTCTTCTTCGTCTTCTAAGTCCACCTTCTCTTCTCACCCTCTCGCCACCTGACTTCTCAGACTACGACAGAGAGAGACAGAGTTGTGACTTGAGACTTGACGACATTGGATCCAGACTTGACATTTGGGATTCAGACATTTCGATGA